AAGTTTCATCAAATCACAGATGACCATTGTGGAAGTGGATGCCCCTCCTGCTTTCAAGAGTGTTTCCTCTGGAAGCTCCACCAAACACTGTCCACCATGGGCAACCATTATCACATTTAACACATTAGTGTCACTGTGTTTGGCATCACAGCAACCACAAGTTACCTCTGTACAGCAATGCACAGACCAGTGCTATACCACTTAGAAGAATGTTTCACAAAAAACAATTTAAACCAAGCCTGAAAGCTGCAGATTAAAATCACCCACCTTGGGCTTGGTGGCATAACTTTCTGTCCACTAGGCCAATGTAGCTCTATGTTGTCATTGTTATTGTTAGGTGAGTGCCACTGAGTCTTAGACGACTCACAGCGACCCTATAAACCAAAGACCTGAGCACTATTCATAGAGTTTCCGGAGGCAAGCCATTTCACCCTACCGCTCACCAAATTCCAGCCAACAGTTTCTGTAGAACCAGCTCCTGTAGATGACTTTCAAACTGGTCTCCAGCTGCATGCTGCCCACCAAAAATGGTGTTTAAATAGGACTTATCACATCTCCTCACTTCCCTTATCATAATAGACAGAGAAAAGAGTCAAACTGTCAACAACTTCATCTTACTTGGATCCACAATTAATACCCTTGGTACCAGTAGTCAAGAAATCAGGAGACATATTGCACTAGGAAAGTATGCAGTTAGGGACCTCTCCAAATTACTGAGAAGTAATGATGTCAGACTAAGATGCATCTGATTCAGGCCATGGTCTTCTCCAATCACTTGCTATGCATCTGAGAGCTGGACAATGTACAAAAATGACAGAATTTATGCCTTTGAGTTGTGGTGTTGGAGAAGAGCACTGAACATGCCATGGGTGGCCAAAAGAACAAATATGTCCTAGAGAAAGTGCAGCCAGAGTGCTTGTTGAAGGTAAAGATAATGAGGCTTCAGCTCACATACTTTGGACATGTTGCTAGGAGGGGCTATTCCTTGGAGATGGACATGATGCTCAGAAAGGTAGAGGGTAGGTGAAGGAGAGGATGACCCTCAACCAGGTGGACTGACACAGTGTCATAATGGGCACTAATGTGTCAGGAAGTGTGAGGATGACACAGGATAGGGCAGGGTTCAGATCTGATGTTAACGGGTTCTCTATGGCTCATACTGGACTAGACGGCACCTAACAATTTAACAAGCACCAAGACCAAAATAATGTGAGATGAAGCTTGATCATCTTTGTCTCCAAGGAGCACTCTGTCTGCACCTTCTCCGAGACATATTGTTTGTTCTTTAGACAGCTCATGGGATATTCCGTACTCTTCAACACCAAAACTCAAAGGCATCATTCTGTCATCCTTATTCATTGCCCAGGTTACACTGTGGGTTTTGTAATTTATGTTATAAACAAAATGTGTACGAATGGCTGAAATGAAAACTAATTTCCTTTCTAAACTGTACTAACATCAAAATTTTTAAAAACTAATAATCTAATGTCACTATTAGTGCATCTCTGAGGCAGTCTGTCATTAAGATGCAAGAATCAAAGTAGCTGTACTAACAGCTGACTAGAAGACTTTAGCCTCAGCATGAAAGCTAATCACAAAATCGCATCAAGTTCTTGCTAAAGTTCCAAATAAAAGGCTATTTGAAAGATTGTTCTTGTTTAATTGTCCTACCTCACATTACATGACATAAAGGAGCATTGTGTGCAGTTCCAGAACCATCACCCCAACTCTAACGAAGACAAGAACGAAGCCTGGCCTCGTTTCCAGCTTTCCTCACATCACCAACCACAGCTCTGATGAAAGGAACTCAAGAGGGCTCTACCAAGCCACTCCAGGCCCAGGAAAACAAGACTCTAGGAACTGACAGAATATTCAATAGATGCAATACCAGAAGGGCTCAGCTGTCCAGGCCAAGAAATCTGGATGATAACTCAATACTTGGCCAAAAAACTGGACAAGATCTGTATTTGCACTATTCCAAACAAAGATGACCCAACAGAATGTGGATCACATGGAAATAAAATATTGTTTAAGATCATTCAAAAACAACTGCAGCAGTACATGGAGACCTGCCAGAGATCCAAGCTAAATTCAGAATACATGCAACAAAGACTATCACTGCTGACATCAGAAAGATCTTGGCTGAAAACAAATACTGAAAAGATGTTTACTTGTGTTTTATTGGCTGTGCAAAGACCTCTGACTGTGGATCATAACAAATTATGAATAACAGTGAGAAGAATGGGAATTCTAGAACACTGAATTGGGAAAGGAATCAGTACAAAGCCAGTGGAGGCTAGTGCTGTCTTTTCTTGGGTCATTTTCTGACAATGTATCAGCTACACATAATAGAAAGCACTCTGCAAATGTCTGCCAAATAAATAAAGAGCAATAAAATTCTCAATATCTAACCCTGGTGGCCTAGAGGTAAGGGGTTGTGCTGGCAACCCCAAGGTATGTAGTTTGAATCCACCATCTGCTCCAAAGGAGAAAGAAGTGCAACCCCCTCCCATGCTGTTGACTGCCTCTGAAAACCAGCTGAAGGGTCATCTAGGGGCTGTTCTGACTCAATGACACACAACAGCAACAAGCATCTGCACAATATGCTTGTGTATCGGAAAAAGGAATTTAACTCAAACTTTGGTCTCCAGTGTAAACACAATCCTAACTTTAGCAGAAAAAAAAAACAATAATAATCTCTAAACTGTAGAGTCTCTGCTATTAGCCACATTCTTTTCTATCTCTAAGAGGAAAACTGCCAGATAAATTTATATTAACAGTATCTGAAAGAAATATGACAACGCTTGTTGGAGCTATCAAGCAATTCCGACTTCTGGAGTCTCAATGTGACAGAGTCTAACTGTACAAAAACAGACGGTCAGACCTTTCTCCTGAAAGGCTGGGTGGGTTCAAACTACCAGTGTTTCTGTTAGCATCCACGGGCTCAACCACTGAAGGACTTCGTCAAGTGTACTTTGAAATGTCAGATGCAGCTGTTTCCACAGCCTCTTTAGTAGCTGTTGTTGCTGCTGTTGTTGAGTGCCATCGAGTCGTAGGCGACACATAGCGACCCTATGAACAAAAGACCCGAACACCTGTATAACTTCCATCCTTTCTCCAGGTTCATAGGGTTTCCAGAGGCAAGCTATTTCGGAAGTGGCTGCCACTCCTGCTTCCAAGTTTGTTTTAATCAGGGGCTCCACCAAACACTGTCCACTATGGATAACCGTTATCACATCAGACACATAAGTATCATAGTGTTCAGCTTCAAAGCAACGAGTTACCTCTGTACAGCAAGTGGACAGACCAGGGCTATCCAACCCTGAAGAACGTGTGATCAAAATCAATTAAAAACAGGCCTGAGGGCCACGGATTAAAGTCACCCACCTTTGGCTTGGTAGCATCACTTTCTGCCCACTAGGCCAATTGATCTCACTCTACGCTGGTGTTGTTAAGTGCCATCGAGTCATAGGCGACTCATTGCGACCCTATGAACAAAAGTCCTCGACACTTGTACACAACTTTCATCCTTTCTCATAACAAACTCCTGCACTTTCTTTTCAGAGGACAACATTCCTGATGGTCAATTACATGCTTTTTCAGTTTAATCATCAGTAGATTAAACATGAAGATGTTAGATAACAGTGTTCAAATACAGTTTCTGGGTTACAGGGTGCCACTTCTTTGAACTCAAGGAGGGGCTTTCTAATATAAACCGAGTATTATGAATAGCATTCTCGCATCTGACTCATCAGTGTCACTGTGTTCGGCTTCACAACAACCACAAGGAACCTCTGTACAGCAAGTGGACATAGCAGGGTTACACGACCTGGAAGAATGTTTCATCAAAAACAATTCAAGGCAGGCCTGAGGGCTGCAGATTAGAGTCACCCACCTTTGGCTTGGGAGCATGACTTTCTGTCCACTAGGCCAACTGCTCTCTATGCTGTTGTTGTTAAGTGTTGTTGAGCCAAAGACAACTCATAGCGACCCTATGAACTAAAGTCCTGGACACTTCCTGTATAACTTTGTCCTTTCTCCAAGTTCATAGGGTTTCCGGAGGCAAGCTGTTTCAGAAGCAGATGCCACTCCTGCTTCCAAGCTCCTTTTAATCAGGGAGCTCCACCAAACACTGTCCAACATGAGTAACCATTATCTCATTTGACACATCAATGTCACAGTGTTCAGCTTCACAGCAATCACGAGTTACCTCTGCACAGCAAGTGGACAGACAAAGGCTATACGACCTAGAAGAATGTTTCACCATAAACAACCTGGAGAAAGGGCGAAAGTTATACAGGTGTCCAGGTCTTTCGTTCAAAGGGTCGCTATGAGTCGCCTACGACTCGACAGCACTGAACAACATTATGAGTAACATGTGCTCCTGCTTTGCACAATACAGCACAGATTCCCTTTCGGGTTTTCTGAAATCTCGCCTTTCCCAAGGATGAAATGGGAAGACACAAAATGTGAGCTACCGAACAGGACACGTCAGTCTCTCCGGGCACAGAGTCTGCAGAGTGAACAATGAGCGGCACGTCAACAGGCGATGGAAACACGACTGTATATATTGATAAGCACGGCTTATCGCGGGCCAGCAGCGGTCCGGCCAGCGCCGTCCGTAAGCGGCGGCTGCAGGACCGGCCAGCGCGATCCGGCCCATCGCGACCCACGAGGACGCGTCCACGGGTGACCCGAGCGGGCAGCGTTCCGACCACAGCAACAGGCCCTCGGTCGGCGCCCCGGCCCGCGCGCCCGGCCGG